GTGTGACACATTTCAATGGGGAGAGAGAGCGCGGCCGCGGGCGTGCGTGCGGCGGGGTAAAAATAATTTTGAGGTGGGCGCCCTTCGAAGCATGAAGGCACACATGTAAGATATGAATGAATAAAATCACACGTCGCTCAGGTGTTAATCATGAGGTGATTTCTTTTGGAAGATACACTTGTGGTGGTCTACTTACGCACTGCCTCCTTTTTAGGGTCTAGGGCACTGGCAGTCTGCTGTATCTGGCCTATTTTGTTCTGGAGGACCCAGACCCGCTGGTTGGTGTTAATGATGTCGTTTTCCAGCTCCTGAAATAAGGAGCAGGCGTGCCGGGCCAGGTCGGACAGCTGTCGCAAGGTCCGGGACAGAACCACGTTACTGATGGCACACAGGTCCTCGAAAAGCAGACCTTCATCGTTGGGGATCTGGTGCCTGCACAGAAGCTGCGGCTCCACAATCCTTTTGGCGAATGGCATTTTGCACGCCAGAAATAATAGGAGTTGTAAGCCAAGTGTAAATTCCCACTGCCTAGAAGAAAAAGGGAAAAGGGGGAAACAGACAACATCCAAATATATAAATCCACGAGAAACCCGATGAGGTTCAGGCCGACCGCGCGTTATCCCCGGGCGTCAATCCAAAGTTCCCAGATTCTCCTTGAGATCCTCCATCCTGCTGCTGGTTTCTGGGGATCACTCACACTCCCGCTCACACACGCACACACATGCACACACATGCAGGACACAGCTAAGCTCAGGTCAGTGGTGTGAGGATGCGTGTTGAGTCTGCGATCATGGGTTGCCTCCGTGCAGCGTCAAACCAGACACGAAAAAGGAAACACTGGGCAAAAATTTCAAAATAAGAAACTGAAGTCAATTGCAATTAGAAACAATGGTGGAGGAGAGCTCTGCTAAATGAATAGAAAATACACAAAACAAAGGCTTTGATGAAATATAAAGCAACAGCATGCGGGTTTTCTTGAAAAGGCTCGTCTATAACAAATATTGCCTTATACCCAGCCTGCACGCCTTAAGCTTTTATTTTCTTTAGGTCTGTCCTTGCTTTTCCGGTGTTATTGTGGTTGTGTTTTGGGGGGTACTGATGCAGCCTCGCACTGTGGCCTGAGCTGTGTTCAGGCAGAGAGGATGAGAGAGAAGACTGAGGCAAAACCTGGAGATGTGGATGTGCGCGGACAGGGAACAGCCATGCAAATTAATTTACAGCTACAAGTTTCTCATCATGTCAGGACATCCTGAAAATTACAAGAGAAACATGTGTTTGCTGTGTGAGCAGATGTGGGTGAGCACACTCAGGAAAATAGACAAAATCCGTAAAAAATTTTTTTTTTATTTTCACTATTAAACCTTTGCACATGATTGACTACACCAACCCCTGGACCAATGGAGACAAGCTGATCTAAATTCAAAGGCCAGTATGCTCTGGAAGCTGTAATGTTTTTGAAGATGTTCACTAATGAACTAGTTATCAGAAAATCGGATGTTCTTTGCTCTGGATGTCCCAAGCCTTCTTCACAAGCTCAAATATATATTTCATATTATTTTATCTTATTATCTTGATACTCCATGGCTTTTCCTAGTTGTTTAAATTTGCTTTTGAACATGATTTTGAACTAATAACATGTTCAAAAAGTCCACGTCTGAAAATGATGTCCAGCACCTTTTTTTTTTTAAATTAAAGAAATAATAATAATAATTTTCAGGGATTCCAGCTGTAAAACATTGGCTTTGGAGTTTTATAACAGTAAATTACTGAATGAGAGTTTTATCTATTAAACCTCAAATATATGTAATGTCACTGTAAGTAGGGTGATATATTGTATATTGCTCAGGTATAGGTATATATTTTTCCCATTCATGGTTTATCTGAAAGTAGAACAATGGAGTGTATTTGTGTTACCTGCATACCAAATGTACAATTGCCATATTGTTGCTGTGCTGTGTTACAATTGTGTACAGTGACTGAAGTAAAAAAAAAAACCAATTTGTGCACTAGTGGTAATTTGGTCATGTATTTTATTATTTTTTGTTGTCTTTAGTTGTGTGACATAGAAGCAAATGATGAAAAAGTAGTGTGTTGTTTTGTCTGAATGTACCAACAGGCTGGCTCTACAGTGCATTCAAGAAGCACACAATCAAAACCAGATCCAAAGCTATGAGATCTCTCTTCCTTCACACCTGTCCAGTTTTAAAAATACGAGTAGATAATTAGAAACGAGCATAGGACAAAATAAAATTCAATGCAACATATTACAGCATAAACCAGCACAATATGTAATACACACTGTACTGTACAGTGTGTATCCTCCGAGTCAAACGCAGAGGCTCTAAATTGCTAAATTGTAAACTTCTCAGAAAAGTTCACCTATACAGCAGGAGCCTATATAATGTAGCTCAACGATGTCCAGTGAACAGAATTTTTTTTGCTGAATATGAGTTTCCAGGATGCTAAGCCTGGCTGTTGTGTGTTTCATTCACAGTGATTAGCCTATAGCCTCTAGGCTCAGTCTGTATATAGACATGTTAGCAATAAACTTGCTGTTGCAGCAAATTTGAGGCAGCACAGATTGACAGTAGCCTATCATGGGCCTCACTCTGAGCTGCCAAGAAGACAACCCTGCTACAAATTGTGAAATGTTCCATATTTGCTTCCCAGGAAACAGTTTCAACAGACAGCGTCAAATTCCTCATGATTTTAGATTCCTTAACTTGAACATTTCCACTTCTTTCAACTTTATTATGATTGTGAGGCATGGTGATGGACATTTTAGATCTAATGAGACTATCTGTTGCCGGGGGACATTTTCCTCAGTGTCATGTGTACATAAGAACAATTTTGAGGTACTTATACAGTACTTATAGCCTATGTATTACCATGAGAGAAGTATTGTACGTTTTATTCTGCCATATTAATCTGGCAGATATAATTACGCTGACACCCACACAGGTGTTTTAAATTCTTAGACCTCCAGGTGTAAGTTGGTGGATCTATGCTGAAAATTCATTATGTAACTAAATTTTAATAAGAGTGATAACCGGGTACTTCAGGGCTTTCAAACTGTGGTCTGGGGACCAACAGGGGTGCCTGAGTGAGTTTTTGGGGGTCCCCAACAAAAGGAGGAATATAATATTTTAACTTATATCATATTTGGAACAACAAGGGAAGAAATAGAGTTGGCTGGTTTATTGATTTTAATTTATAATGATTCATCACCGAGTGACTGTGAAGACTTTATAATCTTAAAACCTAAAAATGAAAATGACTCAAAGATGATTCCTTAAGATATTGTCAAATTGGGGGTCCGTTGGGGTCATAACAAAAAAAGGTTTGGGAACTCCTGCTTTAGGCTGTCTGCAATAGGCCTTTTCACACAGACATTCTGACATGTCACAGTAGGAAAAGCACAGGTGTAAATGATACACTTAATGATGGCTGTATTCCATTTAGTTGCCTAATGTTTCATCATTTAATGAAGGTTTTTTCCCTGTTCTGTGTGCTCCAGTACACTTTGGTCAGAAGTCTCTCCCGATACAAGATTGCCTTGCGCTGAGAATGCCGGACAGACCTTTTTCCATAAGTCAGTTGAAGCACGTCTAACCTCCTCCTTCATCTTCCATTTAGCTGCTTCATCACAGTCTTGGTATTGTGCATGCTGACTCACTGTCACACTCATGGCTTACTGGGACATTTGAATAAAGCAGAGCCATCGTTAATGTTATTAGTTACACCTGTAATTTACCTACTATGAAAAGTCGAATGTCTGCTGTGAAAAAAGGCCTTTAGAACAAAACAAAACCAACAAAACCTACAGAAGGGTGAGGGAGATGTCAATCAAGTCAGATTTTATACACATGCACATTCCTGAGAAGAGGCCTAATTAGGATTTTGAAACTGGAATCACATTGCACTGCACGACTAGTATGAAAAGGAGGAACAATTGCAGCAACCAGTGAAGCTTTTATTTTGTTATATATGTTAGTGTTGTTTAACGGTAAGACAGACCTGACAAAATGTGAATCTATTCTTTAACGAGTATGACAGTACCAACTATCTCCACAGGAAGACACTGTTGCATCAAGTTAATGTTCACAGGGTTGTAAAACAGGTGCACTGCCTTGAAGTGTATTTGCTCTTCTGATGGGAAGATGATCAATTAAAATAGTGGCACTCCAAAAGCACAAATAAATTAATATATAAAATCCCCAAAACAAGCATCTGAGCACTAATGAGTGTATTGAGAGATTTCTTGGATTCATTTTATGTTGCTGCTGTGGATAAAAAAACTATTCTGATTAACTTTATTATTAAATTGATGTTTTAGTAGATTATTGATTGACTTGTTGAAGAGAAAGAGAGCATTAAATAATCTTTTGGTGTTGATAATAAATCTAAATAATGAACCTTGCCCTCATGGCTGATGTCTTATCAGCATTTAGGGCTTAACAGTGTGTGACTTGCATTTTATCTACTGCTGGGAACTCCACCTCCACCAGATAGGAGGTTGGAGGCTCGTCTAATGCTATTATTTCCTTTTTCCTTGACTGTTTTCTCCTTAAAGGGTTTGTTTAACAAATAATACTTGGAGAAAATCAATATAAAGTGAACATGAGCAAAAACCTTTTCTCAACACATTTTTAGTTATTTTATTAATAAGAACTTTATTTTATACTGAACCTTTTAAAAACAAAGAAGAAAAAGTAATTGATTCACTTGTGTAGACACATTATATTTATTATAACTTATACACTGGTCATCCTGCTTTTGATGTTATGCCAAACAACTTTAAATGTATTTTTTCATCTTGACAGGCTGAATGTATTCACTCATTCCACATTAATATAACTTACTGTACACCTTTCAAAAGAGATTATATGTATGTTTTGCGACTGATGGTGTATCAAAGTGTAACACAGACTCCCCCCATGTGAGGACAGCCCAGTGACGTTCATCCTATCTGTAAATGAAAACTCAGATACACCCTCAGTTATGGCTCTGCTGTCCAAAGGCCAAGGCAGCAACCAAGGTTAACTGTATAACAGAGTACAGCGTTTTCTCAGAGTTAGTTTGTGTGTGTGGATGGAGAGGAAGCAGCCAAGATGTCTGCTAGAATCATTGTAGCGTTGCTGGCTGTGTCCTCCATTGTTTCTGCTCAGTCAGATATGGAGAACAAGGCCAAAGAGTTCCTGCAGAGGTTTGACGAGGAGGCCACTCGGCGTATGTACCAGTACTCGTTGGCATCATGGGCCTACAACACCGACATCACAAAGGAGAACTCAGACAAACTGGTAAGCATTCGGAGACCCTTTAAAAAGCAGATCATGTAGCTACTGTAGATTGACCAGTGCTCATAAAAACAGATGTAGTGTAAGTTACTGATTTACCTAATATGGTGTGTCTGTTTTCATTGTACCTAGTCAGAAGAGGGGCAAATTTGGGGCAGTTTCTACTCCCAGATGTCAGCAGAGTCCCAGAACTTCACCATCAGCGAGATCAAAAATCCAGAAATCAAATTACAGCTCATCTCCCTACAAGACAAAGGCTCTGGTGCCCTCTCCCCAGATAAAGCCGCACATGTAAGATAATTACAGCATGTTAAATTTCATTCTGTCATAGATATGTGTTTGGATGTGTCTTAAAATATGTTATTTTCATGTTTGTAAAAGCTGCTCATCATCTTGACTATTTCCTCATTGCTACAGTAATTTATTCTACTAAATTAACATTGTGTCCTTGTTTTTCTTTTAACTCTACTTGCAGCTGAATAAGGTCATGAGTGAGATGAGTACAATCTACAGCACAGCGACAGTGTGTCTCATTGACGACCCCCTTAACTGCCAGACTTTGGAGCCAGGTACACTCTGTTAATAAGGACTAGTTATGGCGACGTGGCTGCCTGCTACTGTTGGCCACACAAACACATAAAGCAGTTTATAATTAACTAAGTAAAGGAAAAAGGCTTTTATTAAAGTTTTAAACTGATGTTATGTAATGCATTGTGAGA